TAATGTAAAATTTTGAGAAGTCAATTTGGTTCACTTCAATTCACACTTGAAACCTTCCACGTTAAAAATGTTTCATTTGCCTCCAGGCTCCACCCAATCAACATATACCTTGTCTCCTCAGATGGATTATTATACCCACGACTCGACCCGGGATAGCAACACGGATTCGGAGCACCACGTGGGAGCCCAAGAACAACACGGACCCGGAGCACCATGGAGGTGCCCCGACCCGAGCCGAGCTACGTGGGGCTCGGATCAGATGGCACGACCCTGCTCGAGCTCGGGTAGGGGAGCTCGGTACCACCCGAGCTCGGGACCTGACCCGACCCGGTCCACCCGGGCCCGGTCAAAGTAGTGATCTAACCATCCCCCGATTTAGATGGAGGTGGTTGGGGGGTTTAGCTTGTATAAAAACCTCCCTCCTTGTCCTAACAAAGGGCATTCTATCTACATTCTACATCTATTACATACACTTTGTCCCGAGAAACATTGTAATAGTCAATTTATGGCATTTAATACAATATACGGTCTCACGGCCTTACGACATCATTTCATTTATTTATATATTATTTATATTACGTTCTTATCCGGATTTATTGATTCGGGTCCACCCCGGTTTAATTAAATCCATCATTGGTGCTCTTGTTGAGAGCTGCTGTACCAGCTCAAGCGTGTTCTATGTCCAGTGGTTTACCGCGACCAGCTACTATGACAAGATCGAGATCCAACTCTCGCCACACAAACGGTTCCCGCGGCACCCAGCCCGTTGCGACCGGGAACGGCCCCAAGGGGGTCCCCAACCTCCAACCGGCCACCTCTACCAGGTCGGGGGGAGACATGAGGGATCGTCTCACCAACTACCGCAGTGGTGGAGCTCCACCTCCCGCCCCCCTGTTCAGGATCTCGCCCTCATCCGGGAGGGGATGGCGGTCTTTGAGCAAGCCTCCACAGGGCTGGCCCGGGTCGTGGCGGACCTCCAAGCGTGTATGCCTGCTGACCCGGACGTCGACGAAGGGCTACCGGCACCTCCTCCACCTCATCCCACCCGGGGGCGCAGCGGTCCAAGCACCCGGCCGCCCCAGGCACCTATCACATAGGGGGAGGTCAATTCGCCCCACCAGACGGACACACGGGGAGGAGGGGACTCACGACGTGACCGACGTCAGGAGGACGAGGAGAGGAGGTCAAACCAAACCAGGCCTGCCATGGAGAGGTTGGGCAGTCGGGTGCCAGCCCGAGAGAGGTTGGGACCAAGGCTTGCTGCCAACGAGTCTCCCCAGCAGAATCATGCTCCCGCAGGCAAGCACGACGACAATCAGTCACCCGGAGGTTGCCAAGCCACGGACCCCGAGCCCAGTCGCGACAAGAGGTGGGTTCGCGGAGGTCACCAGGTCGGGGGACCCGAGCCCCACCTCGGCGTGAACAGGCCTTCCGGGTCGAACGGTCAGGTGAAACGAATGGTAGAGCTCCGAGCTCCCATCGGGGGGAAGAGGTCGAGCAGCTGCGGAGGAGGATGGACGAGCTCCAGAAGAAGATCGACGAGAGGGACGGGTCTCCAGAGCCCCAGGATGTGTTGTCCTCCCCGTTCGCAAATGCCATCATGGAGGAGCCCTTACCTCGAGATTTTCGCTTTCCCACCATTAAAGCGTACTCGGGGACCACGGACCCGCGGGCGCACCTCACCCGGTACCGGGCCGCCATGATGATCACCGGGGCGACCGACGCCATCCTATGTAGGGGGTTCTTCGCCACCCTCAATGGGCAGGCGCACGATTGGTTCGGGTTGCTCCCGGACCACCTTTACGGACCTCACCCGGCAATTCCTGTCTCATTTCGCCACCAGCATGCAGCGGAGAAAGCAAATCGCCGACCTGTGCGATCTGAAGCAGGGGAGCTCGGAGTCATTAGCCGAGTACCTCAGCAAGTGGAAGAAGGAGGCCATGGGGGTTGCCAACTTTGATGGGAAGTCGGCCATGCCAATCTTCCGAAACAACTTGAGGTCGGGCGCTTTCCACCAGGACCTCATCAGGTACCCCCCCAGGAGCTATACCGACCTGATGGACAGGGCAGCCAGGTACGCTGATGCCGAGGCCGCTGAGAAGAGGAAGAAGGAGCAGGAGGAAGGGAGAGGTCGAAAAGACAAGACACCCCAGGAGGAGCGCAAGGCGCCACGGCCACATCGGCGTGAGTATGCTGAGGGGCCTAGGCTGAACCCCACGCGCTATCTCACCCCGCTGACACAACCTGTGGGTACCATCCTGGCGCACGCGGAGGACCAGGGGATCGTGGTGTTCCCGAAAGAGGAGTGCTTGAAGATATCATCGAGGGGGGACCCCAACAAGTATTGCAGGTTCCACCGGCTGAAAGGACACGACACGTACGAATGTATCCTCCTGAAGAGGCAAATCGAGGAACTCATCTAAATGGGCTACCTCGATCAATTCATTAAGAAGCCCGGCCAGGTGCAAGGCCAGAAGCAAGGCAATGTATGGAGAAAAGAGGGTGGCCAGGCGCCATCCACCTCGGCACCTCGTAAGAGGGATCACAACAACAACTCCGAGGAGGAGGAGAAGACGACGGAGGACTCCCAGCCCCCGAAGAAACGTACCATCTACGTCATCTTCGGGGGGCCCGAGGGAGGGGGCTCGCCAGCCGAGCAGAAGAGGTGGGCGAGGAGCTTGTATGTGGGGGAGGTCACACGAACCCCCCACGAGAAGAAACCGAAGAGGGAGCCCATCACGTTCACCGACGCCGACCTACCAGATGGGCCCCTCCCCCACCGAGACGCCCTGGTGGTCAAGCTGGACATCAACAACGTAATGGTGCACCGGGTGCTCATAGACATGGGTAGCTCGGTGAACGTCATGTACTACGACACGTTCACCCAGTTGGGATTCTCAAGAGGGCAGCTGGAGCAAGTACGGACCCCCCTGTCCGGGTTCACGGGGGACTCAATTGAGACGGAGGGGTCGATCAATTTAGAGGTGGAGATAGGTACCCCACCTCACACCAGGAGGTGGGAGGTCGAATTCGTAGTCGTCAAAATCAGCTGCGCCCACAACATTATACTCGGCCGACCTGCCCTAGAAGACCTCAGGTGCGTGATTTCTAAGGAGCACCTGTGCCTCAAGTTCCCGATACCAGCCGGGGTCGGGGTCGCCCGGGGGGGACCAAAAGGTAAGTTGCAGCTGCTACTTGAAGGCTTGCCGCCAAATTGGTCAGAAGGACCTCCAGGTCCACACCATCGCCGAGAAGGCATTTCGGGAAGAAGTAGGTCAACCTCGGGCCGAGCCCGTGGTCGAGACAGAGGAGGTCATCCTCAACCTCAGCCGACCCGACCGGGTCGTGAAGGTAGGGGTCGGCCTCCCGGCCGAGCTCCGAGCATGGATAATTAACACCATCAGGAGCTACAATGAGGTCTTCGCATGGGGCCCCGAGGATATGTCGGGCCTCAGTCGAGACGTGATCACGCACAAGTTGGCTGTCGACCCCGCGGTCAAGCCAGTCCAGCAGCGCAAAAGGTACCTCTCCGCCGAGAGGAGGGAGTTCGTAAAAAAGGAGGTCGACACCCTACTGGAGATCGGTCATGTCAGGGAGGTCATATACCCCACCTGGCTAGCCAACGTGGTCCTCGCCCCAAAGCCACTCACCTGGAGGATGTGCGTGGACTACACCGACCTCAACAAGGCCTGCCCCACGGACCCCTTTCCTTTCCCCAACATTGACCACCTGGCGGACGAGACCGCAGGTTGTGCCCTCATGAGCTTCCTAAATGCGTACCGCAGGGGGTACCACCAGATTTTCATGGAGGAGGCCGACGAGGAGAAGACAGCCTTCACCACACTAGAGGGGGTCTATTGCTACAAGGTCATGGCCTTCGGGCTGAAAAATTCAGGTGCCACCTACACCCGAATGGTGGCCAAGGTGTTCAAGTAGGCCCTCGGCCGCAACCTGCAGGCTTACGTCGACGGCATGATCGTTAAGAGCACCGACGTCGACCTCCACACGGACGACTTTACCGAGGTATTTTCAATTATGCAGCGTTTCAATTTACGATTGAACCCCAAAAAGTGCACATTCGGGGTGCATGGAGGGAAATTTTTGGGGTACATGGTTTCGAAGAGGGGCATTGAGCCCAACCCCGACAAGGTCAAGGCCATCCTGGACATGGAACCTCCGAGGTCCCTCCGGGAGGTCCAACGCCTCAACGGACGGTTGGCAGCCCTGGGTCGTTTCCTTTCAAGGTCGGCCGAGAAATCTTTGCCGTTTTTTGGAGTCCTAAAAAAGACCAAGGGCTTCGAGTGGTCCGAAGAGTGCCAGAAGGCGTTCAAAGACCTCAAGACGTACCTGATGTCGCTCCCCCCTTGGCCAAACCCGTTAAGGGGGAGGTCCTATATTTGTACTTGGGCATCTCGCAGGCCGTGGTCAGCTCCGTGCTGGCCCGGGACGACGAGGGGGTCCAACGGCCCGTCTACTATAAGAGCCGAGCTCTACGGGGGGGAGGGGGGCGGAGATCTGGTACACACCCGTGGAAAAGGCCATCTTCGCGGTAGATGTGACGGCAAGGAAGCTGAACCACTACTTCCAGGCCCACCCCGTACAGGTCCTCACCAACCAGCCACTAGTCACAGTACTGAGGGCCTCGGGGTCGGCAAGCTGGTTGGTCAGGTGGGCCATGCGGCTGAGCCAGTTCGACATCCAGTTCAAGCCCAGACCCGCCATCAAGGGGCAGGCACTGGCTGACTTTATAGTCTAGTGAACTGCCTGGGAGGCCACGGAGCGGATCCGGGATGAAGAGGAGGAGTGGTGGACCCTCTCACCGGACGGGTCATCCAGCACCAAAAGCTGCGGGAGTGGAGTCGTCCTCATAACACCGGAGGGGTTTCGGGCCTACTACGCCCTCCGCTTCGCGTTCAAATTATCCAACAACGAAGCCGAGTACGAGGCACTCCTAGGGGGGCACCGCCTCGCGCTAAATATGAGGGTGGAGAAGCTCAAAATCCGATTTGACTCTAGACTCGTGGTGGGACAGGTCACAGGTGAATTTAAAGCAAGTGATGAAAGAATGAGGAGGTACAGGGACGTGGTGCTCAAACTTTTGGGGTAGCTGATCAATTACGAGGTCCTACAGGTACCCCGAGACCAGAACACAGATGCTGACATGTTATCCAAGCTTGCCCAAGGGGCCCCGGAGCATATTTCAAAAATAGCCCGAATTGAAGGTTTCAAGAGTTTGAGCTTGGACGCCTACCCGCTCCTACCTGTACAGACCCGACCTCCTTGTTGGTTGTACCACCTCAAGGAGTACAAAAAGACAGGTGCACTACCTCCCGACGAGGTCGACGCCAAGCTGGTGAAACGTCGAGCCCCCACGTACGTGATCATGGGGGACACACTTTACAAGAGGTCCTACAACGGTGCCTTGCTGCGCTGCCTATACCCAGACGAGGCTAGGTTAGTCATGGAGGAGATCTACGAGGGGACTTGCTCCGCCCACCAGGGGGCCTTCGCTATGTCCAGAAGGGCCATCATACAGGGGTACTTTTGGCCCAAAATGGCCAAGGAGTGCGCCGACTACGCTAGGAGTTGCGAGACCTGCCAGCACTTCCAGGTCACCCCCGGCCAACCCGCCACGAGCTACACCCCCATCAGCTCGGTCATCCCCTTCTACAGGTGGGGAGTGGACCTAGTGGGAGCTCTACCCATGGGGTTGGGAAAAAGAAAGTACCTCATAGTTGCAGTGGACTACTTTACCAAGTGGGTAGAGGCGGAACCGCTGGCAACCATAACAAGTGCCTGTTGCAAACACTTCATGTACAAAAATATTTTGTGCTGTTTTGGCGTCCTGATGCAACTCATCACCGACAACGGACGCCAATTCGAGGGGCAAGAGTTCGAGGGGTTCTGTGCAGAATGGCACATTACTCACAGCCAGGTGGAAAACGCCAACCGCACCATAGTGGGTGGCTTGAAAAAGAAACTGGAATCCGCAGGGGGGGGGGGGGGGGAAGGGGGGCGTGGGGTGGAGGAGCTCGACGCCATTCTTTGGGCCTACTGCACCACCCCCCGGAGGGCCACTGGGGAGACACCTTTTTTCTTGGCCTACGATTTCGAAGCCCGAGCTCCAGCGGAGGTGGTCATACCTTCCCGGCGAGAGGAGGACTACGACCCCGACACGAACGAGGAAAACCATTGAACTGACCTCCACCTGATTGATGATAGACGCGAAGCAGCTGCGATCGGAGCTGAAAATTACCAGAGGCAAACCAAAGCATACCATGATAGGCGGGTCCGACCCCGCTATTTTCAAGTGGGTGACTATGTGCTCAGGAGGAGGGAGGCGAGCCAACCCCAGGCCGGAGGAAAGTTTGCTGCCAACTGGGAGGGCCCGTACATTGTAACAGCTGTGGTCCGCCCGGGCAGCTACAAGCTCAAGACCCCCAAAGGAAAGATCATACTAGGTCTGGAACTCGGAACACCTGCTGAAATTCTACCAGTAGACCCGCCACGTGAAAGGTGGACCTCGGCATTGCTATCCTAGAAGGAGGACCATTCCCCTCCCCCAAATAATGTTTGTTTTGTAGACGACAATAAGCGGAATAAAATTGAATGTTACGAAATATGTTATGAGAAGGACCCTTGTTACGAAGTGGGTTTGCGTTTATCTATCTTCAAAAAAAAAAAAAAAAGAAACCACGTAAAATGAGGGGGAACGAGTGCTCACCCGTTTTCTCCCCGCAGACCCTAAGGGGGCACGAGGCCCGACCTCGTGTACCAACCCCGACGGAGAACGCACCCTAAGGAGGCACGAGGTCCAACCTCGCGTACCAACCCCGACGGAAGAGTCCGGTGGCTTGGTTCGACAGGACTCGGCCTGAGCGGCTAGCGCGCACCCTAAGGGGGCACGAGGTCTAACCTCGCGTACCAACCCCGACAGAGGAGCCCAATGGCTTGGTCCGACAGGACTTGGCTCGAGCGGTTAAGCGCACCCTAAGGGGACACGAGGTCCGACCTCGCATACCAACCCTGACGGAAGAGCCCGGTGGCGCAGTCCGGAAGGCTGACGTACCCTAAGGGGGCACGAGGTCCGACCTCGCGTACCAACCCCGACGGGAGAGCCCGGTGCCGTAGTCTCATGGGACTACGTTAAAGAGGCTAACACATGGCTACAAAAAAAAAAGGGCCTAACGCACCTCGGCATAGCACCAGGGTGCACCATGGTCGCACCTCGACACGTTGCTGAGGTGCACCATGGCACCACCTCGGCAGGGTGCCGAGGTGCATCGAGGTGGACCTCGGCGGGATGCCGAGGTCCATCCGTGCTGCACCTCGGCAACGCACCGAGGCTCGGAACCTCGACCGGTGCCGAGGTCTCACACCTCGGCACGACCTAAGTTCGAGCACCTCGGCGCTTGCTGGGGGCTCACCGAAAAAAAAAAATACAAGTAATTAAAATAGAGATAACAGCAGGTAAATGGTGACAACCATCACATCAGCAAAGCAAAGGAGCCAATTGTTCATTCAAAATATTCATAAAACATCCAAGTCTAGTACATCACCAAGGGAGAACAAGGTCGGCTACTTTGAGCTCGGGCCACGTGCGTGAGGAAGGTCGGGGCGCGGAGCAAACCGACTCAGGGGGGAGTGGAGCAAGGAGGTGGAGCGGCCCAAGACGTCTCACCTCGGCACAAGGCACCTCGGCTCAGGACACTTCGGCCCAAGACACCTCGACTCAAGACGCCTCGGCACAAGGCACCTCGGCTAAAATTTGGAGCTCAGAATTTTCCACCTGGGGGCTCGGGTCGGCGTACGGATACTCTCATTTGTTGACTTCCACTCGCAACGAAGAGAGTGGGGAACTCATGATGGATATATTATACCCACGACCCGACCTGGTATAGCAACACGGACCCGGAGCACCACGTGGGAGCCCAAGAGTAACACGGACCCGAAGCACCACGTGGGAGCCCAAGAGCAACACGGACCCGGAGCACCATGGAGGTGCCCCGACCCGACCCGAGCTACGTGGGGCTCGGGTCGGATGGCACGACCCTACCCGAGCTCGAGTAGGGGAGCTCGGTACCACCCGAGCTTGGGACCAGACCCGACCCGGTCCACCCGGGCCCGGTCAAAGTAGTGATCTAACCACCCCCCGATTTAGGGGGAGGCGGTTGGGGGGGGGGGGGTTTAGCTTGTATAAAAAACCCCTCCTTGTCCTAACAAAGGGCATTCTATCTACATTCTACATCTATTACATACACTTTGTCCCGAGAAACATTGTAATAGCCAATTTACGGCATTTAATACAATATACGGTCTCACGGCCTTACGACATCGTTTCGTTTATTTATATATTATTTATATTACGTTCTTATCCGGATTTATTGATTCGGGTCCAACCCAGTTTAATTAAATCCATCACCCTCCACATTTTTTCCCCTACGGGCCGGGATTCGAGTTTAGATAGTTACAAACCCTTTTGTTAGTTTAGTGTTTTTATATATATTTATTTACGGAATAAAGGTGAAATAGGTCATTGAATTGCATATGATAATGCAATTAGGCCATTCAACTTAAAATAACTATAATTGAATCATTAAACTAACAAATTTCATGCAATTAATTCAATTTACGGATTTTTTTAGATTTCTAACAAATCAACCCAAATTTAAAAAATAATTATTTGAAAAAAAAAACTAAAAAGACTTAAAAAAAAAAAAAAAAAAAAAAAAAAAAAAAAAAAAAAACGAGACCACCTCCGCCGGAGACGGTCTGTTTTTTTTTTTTTTTTTTTTTTTTTTTTTTAGTTTTAAATAATAGGGCCGGTCCGGTGCGAATGTGGATTAGTCTGAGTATGATACGGGTTTAAAGGTGCCTCCTACAGTTAGGGTATGCTCAAGACTTCTCGTGGTTGACAAAAAAAATTGTAGTTATTTATAGGATCGACGAATCAAATGATGTTTCATTTCCAATTTTTGCCTTTTCTTCTCCATCTAAATCAAACTTTTCCTTGCCATAATGGTTGAGGTCCTATTAATATCGTATCCATAATACAAGTCTTATCCTAGATGTAGAAATAGAAAAAAGTAGATCCCCCTCAGTCGAAAGAAATGAGATTATCGCGGATACAACACATTAAAATTAACCAAATTTACCCGTTGTAAAGACAATTAAGAAAGCAGCATAAGTGAATATATAACCTACAGAAAAGTGGGCTAATCCAACTAATCTTACTTGCACAATAGTAAGGACCACTGGTTTATCACTCCAGCGAATCAAATTCGCCAAAAATGTGCATTCATGAGCCCTCACTGATTGCACATCACTCATGTCCTCTTCCTCAAAATGTGTGATTAAACAAGTGTTTAGGAAAGGAAACTAGTGTGCCGACTTCCTTGCCAACCTGTGTCAATCATCGCCATAGGGAACAACTCTCCTTGATCATCCTCCAGAAGATTTGAAGCTGATTTTGGCTCGTGATGCAAATTGTGTTAGTTTTAGAAGGTTTTATTAATTCTGGGGCCTTAGGCCCCCTCCCCCTACCAAAAAAAAAAAAAAATTCAATATAATCAAACCTAGCTAATTAAGCTGTTGGCTTAGGACTGAGAATCTCGATCTCTCCCCTCCATCTTTATCCATTCTTACCACCTTTGTCCACCATTCCACCATGCTTTAACCTTAATCTAATCTGCTTCAAAATGGTAAACAAATACAGTAATCCTTTAACAACCCCCCCCCCCCCCCCCCGACCTTAACCTTCTGCATTAAGATAGCTACCTTCTTCAGCCACCCCGGCTATATATCTTAATCTAGAGTTGAAGCAGTGGGTTTAGCATAAACGCATAGAGAGAAGTCGATGAACATAGCAGGCTGTGGCGGCATCGTTGATCAAATGGCAGGCTGCGTCGGCATCAATAACAATCAATTCACTTTAATTTGCAATTCTCCTTTCTTTATTTTGTCTTTTCTTTAACTAGTATTTTCATCCCATGCGTTGCACGAAATGGATTTGTTATAGAACATTAGGAATATTTGGATCGATATACAAATATAAATTATAACAACGAATATTATATAGTGCAATTGATGAAATGTGTTATATCGATTATGTTTTCTAATGTTATTCTTGCTTAAATACGAGTAAATAATTTCTCAATTACCCGTGCAGTGTGCGTGTAATACATGTGCAATACGTGACTAAATTTTTTAATTATATATTTAGATAATAAAATTAAAGATGAAATTATAAATAATATAACCTTAGTATATTAGCGTTGCACATTGTTAAGTTAATTATATGATTCTTGATGCCTGAGCCTTCTACATTATAGTTTGTATAATTAATTAACAAACCCTCTCTCCCCTCCCACCTTAACCTCCTTCACTATATATAGCCACCCCGGCCCGTTTATACTCCGTTTTAATAGAATATAATATAGAGTAATAATTATTTTTGGAAATATAAAATAATTATATTATATTATATTATAATTTACTTAAAAGGGTTTTATTAAAATTGACTTTACATTTAATGAAGTGGCATGATTTAGTTCATCGTCGTTGTATAGCAACCTATACAATGACAGTGCATCAAATTAATATTTTCTCTTAAAATTAATGTTTGCACTTTTCTAAAAACAATTATCTAAATACTGTATGATATTAGGTAGTAGATACTATTTTTGGTTTAAATTACTCTAAGTTTTGTTAATTTGATTTTGGATAGGTTTGTCATTGCCTTCGTCTTTATTGCATGTCCGTTTTTTTGTTGGTAGTATCTCATATGCAATTGGATTACTGGTGCTAGTTTGCAAAAATCCTCTCCTCTACTAAAAAAAAAAAGCAGAACCTTTTTAGTAAATAAAAATAGGCAAAAGTTCCCGCCCAGTGAAAATGACAGAGTTTTGGTGGCATTAATATTGCGTCATTTGAGAGTGAATATGCGGACTCTTAGATTTTCCAATCACAACTTTTGGTTATCCGAGTGGTCACCATTTATGATCTTATTTGTTTTCAATGCAAACTCTTTGATATTCGGAACAGTAGCATTAATAACAATATATGTATATATTTCGTTTACATGTATAAAACATCAGTTCATCAGATCATATCAATATATATACAAGCACTCTGGTATCAAACTTTCATAAACATGGCACCTCTATACCTTCTGGTACGCGAAATCAATCATTAGAAAACTAGCAATGCTATCTTGGTTAAGTGCCTGCGTACATATGAAATCCCAAAAAGGAGAGGTAGCGAATCAATCAAATGTAAGGAGTGTGTCTTCAATGACCAAGAGGTATGAGTATATTTGTATTAACAGAGTAGTGTTAATAACTTAATATCTTATTGTAAAGTGTCTGAATTTTTTCATTTCAATTAGTTTGTTCGTGTATATAAAAAAAACTATTCTATTTTACTTTTCAATTCGTATTTGTTTTATTCCTTCATACAGCTTCAGAGTACTCTATGCGAATTCCCATACCTGTTTGAGTTCTATATATTTTCCTGTGTGCGAATTTTCAATTTGAATAATTATTTCTAGCAGAAACTAAATAGACGGTAATGTATTCAGGATGACTTTTTTTTTTATTCATTCCTATACACAGTTTGTTCTTTCATTCGCATAAACATAATTTAGAAAAAAAATAGAATGCATATAACATAATGCATTTAAACTATATGAAAGAAATTATTAGCATACACATTCAAAAATTGTTAATTTTCTGATCATTCTATATAGTTGTTCTACACATTAATTAGTTTGGGTTTTTGTAATTAGTTTTAAAACCTTTATGTGACTTTTTTTTTTTTTTTTTTTGTATTATAAGTAAGAATACATTTGTTTTGTACTACAAATGAGAGAATGATTATCAGTACAATTACTTATATTTATCAAAAGAGGGAGGTAAACTTTTTTTTTTCTTTAAATTAAAATAAAAGAACAATGTCTATTAGATTTTAACATATTTCATTATCTTGTTTATCAGTGGGGTGGTTACTGGGTTCCCGCTAAGATTGTCTGTATAGAGTTCGGCATTTCTGATTGGTTTTATGATTCTTGCAAGTCCAATTCGAGGGGTGTAACAAAAAGTTGATTCTCTGGAAAAGGAATTCTATGTATGTCCAAAATGTAATACAATAGTTGAAATATAGGGTGAAGGTGTGTAGTTGATGTGGATGGTAATTCACCTTTTTTATTGTGGGATCCGGAGTATGTTGAAATGTATTTATATTTAAATGAGCAGTTTTGTATTGTAGCTAATGTACACAATTGTGCTACATTGTATTTTTTTTAGTTTTTATATTTTTTGAACCTTACTTATGGCAATATTATAATTCTTTTTATTGTACTAAATTATCAAGCTAACTGATCACAATATTATGGAATTAAGTCTTTTAAACACATGAACTTACTTGGGTTGCTGTGGATATCATATCGAGATCACATTATTGTGCCAATTATCTTATTGTTTTATGTTTTATTTTTACATCTCCTAAATATGTTAAGAGAACAATCTGATCAACTGATAACAATATAACGGAATTAACTATGCATGACACATGAAATAATTTCAATCTATTTGTAAACTGTAAATTTAAAAATACTTCATGCCCGCATATGAAATTTTTGACTAAATTCCATTAAGGAATAGGTTTAGACTTACTTAATTGGGCTTATGTGGATATCATATCAAGTCCTCAGTTTTGAACCACATATCGTCAAATTTATGGACACCAGCCATCTGCAATTCTGCATGCAATCCAAAAATCCATAAATTACTCAATAATCTTACTTAGAAGCCCTCACGATGAAATTGAAGGAATTTTTACCTTTTAAACTATGTAGCAAGTACAGATCTGTAATGGTTCTTAAAAAATGAAGGTTAGATGTAAACCCTAAAACCTAGATCTTTACTTTTGTGAACGAAATTCATCAAACAATGCTTGAAATCTGAAATTTTAAGCTTTATATTACAGAAATTAGTACATATTATTATACTTCAACCGCGTGAGAAAAGGATGAATTTAAAAAAAAAAAAATATCGTGGAAGAGATGAAAAACTACTTAACTCCAGGTTCCTTGGATGCTTGATCTTCGCTCCTAGCTAAGCTTTAGATAGGTATGCTTTCCAGATCTGTACTACAACAAGAGTGTAGATGAGATTGAGAGAGATAGACGCACTACAAGAAAAATGCACATAGACAACAGTTTTTCACCTTGTCGTAGGGGTAAAATTTCTGTTGTTGAGTCAGTGTTGTTGAGTCAGTGTTGCTGAATCTGGTGTTGTTAAAAGTCATGCACATAGACAACAGTTTTTAACCGTTGTTTTTTCTAGAAAAGACAACGGTTTTTCTATTGAGTGTTGTTGAAACCGGGGTTGTTGAAAGTCACGTACATAGACAACGGTTTTTAACCGTTGTCTTTTCTAGAAAAGCAACGGCTTTTGAATCGTTGTCTATTGTGTGTTGTTGAAACTGGTGTTGTTAAAAGTCACGCACATAGACAACAATTTTTGAACCGTTGTCTATTGAGTGTTGTTAAAACCGGTGTTGTTAAAAGTCACGCACATAGACAACGATTTTTAACTGTTGTCTTTTTTAGAAAAGACAACGATTTTTGAACCGTTGTCTATTGAGTTTTGTTGAAACCGGTGTTGTTAAAAGTCACCCACATAGACAATGGTTTTAACTGTTGTCTTTTGTAGAAAAGACAGCAAATTTTAACCATTGTCTATTGTGTGTTGTCGAAATCTACTGTATTCTCGATAATTAGAAGAATAGATAACAGTTTTTAATCGTTGTCTTATATAAGAAAGACAACGGTTTTAAACTGTTATTTTTAACATGTTTAGATTTTAAATATAATCATATAAAAAAAATTTATCAAAACACCATTACCAAGTGTTGTTACACAATGTTCACAAGGTTCAAAATACACAAGAGAACTAATTACCAACTCTAAATACTATAATGACCAATATCAATCATCAACCAAGTCATAATACTTCAAAAAACATTTCCAAGAACCAAGTCTAAATGTTTACAAAGTTCTAATCATCAAAATCATACCTATTCTATATAAGTTGAGACATTATCTGTCCATTCAGAACGCACCAAATCAATAACCGTTTTGTCGTACTCAACTTGTTAGAACTACATGTCAAAAGTTAGTAAATATATAAGTACTCAACATAATCACAATATGATAAATTTTATAAAATTAATTGAAATAATGATAAAAATTTTA